AGTTTCTATGTTTCTGTCTTTGAATTTGCTTTAGCTTATTGGGGTTTGAATGAGTTAACAGCATCCCAGTTTCCAGAAAGATCTTATTTTTTCATATCTATGAAGAAAATAAGTTTATATGGGCTACGTTCTAGGGATATATCACATGACTCTAATGGAAATTTTTATCTACGATCTTACTCTGCCTGTAATAAATCCAGCAGAGTTCAGCTCAGCTCGATGGAATGTTGATTCTTGGCCATAAAATGCTTATAAATAGAACCAATCCGAGTATTGTAATTGGCAGTGATATAAAAATAGTTGGCCAGGAGAAACTTCTGCCGGGCTGGCTGGCTTAGCTCATCGCATTCCGATTCCTTGGCTTGAACTTTGCTGATATTGTTTAAAATGCGGCACGTATCCGAAGGAGAGTGGCCAAGAGAAACAGAAACAGAGGAAAGCACACTCGCAGATACACTTTAAAAAAAGCCATTCCATCTTGACATTCTCACCTATAATCTTGTTAAGAAACAGAAAACTAATCTGTAGAGGATCTGAAGATTTGAGTTATCTATAAAACTCTTGCCATCTCGAACTACCAACTTAACTTTTCCTTCAGAAGACACATTTTTGTGAGTGCACTGAAACAGATACAGATACAGTGCATGCTCAGATACAGATACAGATACAGATACAGATACCGATACCGATACAGATACAGACAGCTTGCAGACGCTAGACGACGGTAAATGTGTCTCCGTTTCTTGAAATGAAAACATTTCACAATACGCATCGGAATGTGGCCGGTGGCACAAACCGGGAAAGTTGCCGGGCGAGGGGGCTGGCGTTTTGGCCATAAAGCTTCGCTCTGCACTCCACACAGATACAGATACAGATACATATACAGATACAAGTGCAAGCACAGATACAGATACATCTGGAGCTGGAGCCAGGAGAAAAGAGCCGCAATTGCCGCAATAGAGAAACACACAAAAAATCACCGGAGGCTCTGCTAATGCACTTTCCATTGTACTCTCGGCCAGGTGATGTGGGTTGGGCTTGGATCTGGGTTCGGTTTTGGGTTGGCCTTCACTTGGCCACGTTTTCGTGTGATTCGTTTTCCTCCACGAATTTCCCACGGAGATTATATCACCAGCATGCGAAGGAAACGCGCTCAGAGAGATCCTGATTTCGATTGTTCCGGAAGCTTGCCGGAAATTGCCTTGAGATAGTTTTCTTTTTCGAAATTGTTGTTTTGGAAAGTGAAGGTCTCTAACTCTGCTGTAGTTATGATGGAGGTAAACTTATTTCACAGTTAGTTGCCAACAGTAGGGAGTAGGGAGAATGACCCCGTATCAAAATCAGAGCAGCGAAACATCCTAAGTACTGTAAATAAACGCAACTGAATAGAGCAATTAAAAAGGGTGTAAAGGGAAAACAAGAACCCTAGGAAGCCTTGTTAATGATCGAGCTGAGTCCAAACAGAGACACAAAGGAACCCCTGTGAAAATCCGGAAAGTTACAAGGAGCACAAAGGCGCCAGGGCATAAATTTTCGCATCATGTTCAATCGCGTTTGCCCGTCAGGCGGTATGCAGATGTATCTTTCGGATGTTAATCCTGGCTCCTGGAGCAACCACCGTTCATATTTTTCTCATTTTCGCAACAATAAACATGCCCCTAGGGCAGGCAGCCAACAGACGCAGACAACTAATTAAATTTTCTATGGTATGAATGCGCTTTTGTCGCCCTAACCCCGTTCCAGAAACCAAACCAAACCGAACCCGAACGGATCGGGTCCTCGGCGAAAAGAAGTCTTATTAAGTTGCCATTACCTTCGAGGCCCGCTCAGGTAGGAAGTAGGACGGCCGGGCCTGGCCTATTCATATTCATAAGCCCATTGCCACCGCCATCAATAGCTCGTAAAAACGTAAAAACGTAAAAAGTGTGTGAAACCGGAGGGGTGCCCGAAGATCCCCGATTCCGTTCAGGGTGGTTGCCCCCTATATCTCGTACTATATCTTCTTCCTCGCAATAGGCACTAGGCAGCAGGCAGAAGGCAGCACACGTGTTCATCGTGGTTGCCTGTTGCTAGGCCAAGATACCCTAAATACCCACCCCACATCCCTCCTCCCCCTAAGGCCCCTCTAAGCCTTTGTGGTAGTTTAGCCAAAAAAGCAACGAAATGAGATCACTGACAACTGGAAAGTCGAGAACTTGCGTAAAACTTGGCCAGTCGTAGTGGTTGTTGTGGGCATTGTTGCTCCGCGGATCGCTGTGCTCGTAGCTGTAGTTGTACTTGTAGTTGTAGTTGTAGTTGTAGTTATCGTTGTCGTTGTAGTTGTGTCTCCAGTGTCTCCTGTTGGTGAGAAACTTTTGCCGAGCCGCCGCACATGCGCGTGTACTCCACTTACTCAAACTGCCGAGAATCGTACTCAAAATCAAGCCAAGACAGATTCTAAGGGAAAACGCTGGCAACTTAACATGATTTTAAATTTGATAAGTGATTTATATACACTATTTAATTATATAGTTAAGAGTGACGATTGTCCTCTCATTCTTTACCTTTAAGTTTATAAGTCTTACGTTTCAGTGCCTTGCCAACGAGTCAAAGACCGCCAGAAGTCCACCAGCATTCGAGTGCGATGAATTTCTGTACACATGGAGCCTCGTCTTCGGATCGTGCGTAGAGAAGTCTTAGATAATTGGCTAATTATACGGACATATGCGTTATGAATTTCGTTTTCCATATTTTCAATTCGGAATTGAAAAACTTTCGGGCGGGCCATGCGGGTTCTGCCAGGCTAAAAACGGCTCGAAATATAAATTGCTTAATTCGTGATAAACATTTATGGTGGCCCAGGCGAGTCCAAGTCCAACTCGGTCTCTCCCTCGGATCAGGGCCATGTGAAAAGTGCAGCACTTTCACTATTTCCCCATTTTCCCCCGACTCCAAATCAAATTGAAGTGCCAGAGCCCGGGTTTCTGTCGGCTGGCCTCGTCTCACAGAACACAGAGCCCAGAACTCAGAACTCGAAACTCCGAGAACAGATGATTATCGGACCTAAATTGGTTTTATTAAGATGGATAACCGAAATTTACATTTGATCTAACGAAGTAATTCTATTCGTTCCATATGCGTGTACTTCTTAGCATGGGAGAGTAGGAGAAAGACTTGCCATGACTACTTACAAGAGCTTAGTCAGGGATTAAACTCAAAGATAGAATCAGGAAGTCATAAGCTAGTTTTCTTACAAATTCACTTAAAAAATAGATTCCAAAGTGGTTTCATAGCTGAAATCTAAGAATGCTATGATTCATTTATCTCCGCCAAGGCTAGAGCTAGAGCTGGAGATCCCGAGGAAGTGTTTTGCAGATCTACTAAACCCACATCCTCCCCTATTCGCCTCACTCAAAGTCCGCAATCTTGGGGTCGCTTGCCCGAAAATATGAATATAGCTTAGCTACAGCCAGACCCCCCGAAAACCTTAACCCCACCAGCACCACGATTCCCGCACCGAACTGATAGTGCCGACCGATGCCATAACCATAGCCATAGCCATAGCGTTCGCCCCATAATGTCATATGTACGCTGAGCAGATCGGAGCTCGAGTGTGTGCCAGTGCGATCCTATATAGACCAGACCGCACTATATTATATACATAACTGTAGGAACGGCCACTTCCACTTCGAGACTTCTCTGATCCGTCTTTCTCTTTCTGCCTCCGTTTCTGCCTCCGTCTCTGTCTCCGTTTCTGTTTCTGTGACTGTGACTGTGCAAATTATTGTCGCTCACATAAAAAATATTGCAGGCCAGCGCCATCCAGAGGCGAGCGATGACGGAAGTTCAACTAACTCATTTCCGGTTATGTGCTGGATCGGCCGGATCCTCAATTGTCAGTATGTGTGTGCCCGAGAATCTGGAAACATACGTACAGTGTGCGGTAAACATGGCCTTATGTTGTATATAGTGCGTATACGGCGTCTGCTCGACCGAGTGGCCTTTTCTACATTTATGATTACCAGATTATTGATCATAAAGAGCATCATATTTAAATAAAGTCTAATGAGATTCCGATTTCGGTATATGTAAGTATTCTACACATATTGTGACTTAGCTGTAAATTAGTAAAATTACAGCAACGTTTATCAATGAATAACTGTAGTTGCCCAATATATGTAAGGTGGAACGTTACAAATACCTCTATCTATAATCAAAAACATAAGATAAAGGCAATCAAAGTGCTAGTAAAATCCAATCTGGGTTAAAGCTCCGGAGCTTTCCATCCATTCATGCATTCCATTCATTCAGAACCAAAAGCAGGCGCATTTCATTGAGGGACTCGTTACTGCGCAAATACATTCTAAATTAAGTTGTAAATGAAACGTTTTGAGGTCTTTTTTATCTTAACACTTACGATTGGAATTTGGGTCACCAACATACATATGACTGTCCTGCTTTATGCTACCTTTTAGAGTGGAGAATTTGGAGATTTGGTAAATCGGTCTGTTTTTGATCAAAACAGAAGTAGAATTATTAAAAAGATAAATATAATAAAATTATTAAAAACTTATCCGTTGGGAAGGCGAAGTAAAGATATAAAATTATCTACGTGTAAATGTAGACAAGTAGCTGACAGCGTTGCCGGATCGTGGGAAAATTTATGTTTGTCGATCCTCAACCATATAATTTAGCTACGTTACCATTACTTATTCAATTAAATGAGAATAAGAAGAGTATCTAAACAGTTTTCCGAATAGTTGTGTAAGGAAATATTCTTCAAAGTTTGGGAATTTATTAATATGTTGCCCAATATCTACCTCTCTAGATCCATTGCTGGACTCGGCGAATGCAATTCGAAACCACTTTTTATTTGAACTTTAAATATCGATTGTCAGTTTTCCAGTAGTTATCGATATAAAGCTTAGCGGAGATTTTTTGTCTGATATGGCAGCGCTGTATAAGCCACGCCAAGTGGCAACGTCGAGACTTTGTTTACTTATTGATAATACACTTTTCAGAGAGCAGAGAAGAGCACTTTTGGATTGCATAAATGGGAATGGCATCGGGAAACAAAGGTCAGCGGTGATAAGGATGCACATCGAGGGTCACCCCAGCAATCCGCTTGCGAAGTCAGCCTGCAGCTAGCCCTCGGTACAGAGTGACATTGGAGCAGTCCAAACACCGTCAATACTGATAAGAAGTACGAATTCGGAGAACGGAGAACAAGTTAAATAGGCGCCGTGGAGAGACGCACGCTCAGTTGGCAAGCGACCGCGGATCAAAACAGACGTACGAATAAACAGATGAATGAGGAAGAGTGCAAGAAACGGGTTAGGAAACGTTAACACTCAACGGTCAGCGATCTTTGGCATCATCATCATCTGCAATCTCATCGGAGATCGGAGGCGTCTTTAGGCATCGGAATCCAAATCTGAGCAGTTTCAAGGGCACGTCGGTTGCGTCTAGCCAATCTGAATCACTAATCGGGGCATCTCTACGATAATCACCTGTAAAACAGGTGAGTTGGGCGTTTTTTGCCAAGCGGACAGGTATTTCGCACGCCTGTAGAACGTTTTTTGGTGACGTCAATGAGAACTCCGCGCTCGTGTGGCCTACTTTCATATAATATTGCCCTTTCGCCACTTTAGGATGGCCCCACCCACAGTTTTGGTCACCGGAGGAGCCGGCTACATTGGTTCCCACACGGTTCTGGAGATGCTCAATGCGGGCTACAACGTCATCTGCGTGGATAACCTTTGCAACGCCTACAGCAGCGGAGCCAAACTACCCGAGGCCTTGAGCCGGGTACAGGAAATCACCGGAAAGAAGGTCCACTTCTACAGAGTGGACATCACGGACAGGGAGCAAGTGCGCTCAGTTTTCCAGGAGGTGAGACCAAAATGGGCACGTCAGCAGTTAGGAACTTCATATATGCGTGCCAACTGGATACCATTCAATCAGCCTTATCTGACATGCGCGCTATCAGCTTTTTCTCGTTTGCGCTTGTTTTGTTTGCTCAAGTGGTTGGGCACTTCCGACGAACCGCGTTGATCGACCCTGAATGAAATACCCACTTGGCGAGGTCGGCACCGAAATGGTGCGCTGGCATCCACATCCACATTTGCTCCCGGGCACGTACGCTGCACTGTAGAAGATTAGGAGGCCATAGAACCCGGGCTGAGCGTAGACTGCAATGAAAACATCTTCTGATTACCATGAGAATTCGCTAGCTTAGGCAGGTATTCACGTACTTAATACCCAAGACAAACGCTAGAAGGGGGTTTTTCTTTAGTCACTAGTTTATTTGTTTAAAAGAAGTATTTTTAAATTAGTTGAAGCCCGGAAAGAAACATGTTATTGCTCAAACAGCTATGCAATATCGGTGAGCGCTGAAAACCCAAAGCTTATGCTGGTTTTTCATATTTCGCAACAAAAAGTTTAAGTGTCACGACAGAGTTTTATATTCGTGTATTTAACTATGAGCTTACGCGTACTGATTACTTTTTAGGTTTTTCAATATTTGCCATAATGGAAATTTTCCTAATCAGCCGTAACATTGCTATTTATAAATCTGTTTTGTTGTTTGATAACCTTGGATGGTTCCTAGAAAACTAATTTTGCCATAAAACCAAGAGATAAACAACTTGCAAAAAGAACTTAATTAAACAAAATTACTAAGAAATATCTTTATACTAATCAACATTTTTATTTTGCAGCATAAAATCGACATGGTGGCCCACTTCGCCGCGCTGAAGGCCGTTGGTGAGTCCTGCCGCATTCCTCTGCAGTACTACCACAACAACATGACCGGCACCAACGTCCTGCTTGAGGCGATGGCCGACAACAATGTGTTTAAGTTCGTGTACAGCTCCAGCGCCACTGTCTACGGAGAACCCAAGTTCTTGCCCGTGACTGAGGAGCATCCCACTGGCAACTGCACATCGCCTTACGGCAAGACCAAGTACTTCACCGAGGAAATTCTCAAGGATCTGTGCAAGTCAGATAAGGTGAGTTGTAGTTAGGGCAACCCAAAGATTAGTCAAAACTAATAATACCTTTACAGCGTTGGGCCGTGGTTTCCCTGCGCTACTTCAACCCGGTGGGAGCTCATATCAGCGGACGGATTGGCGAGGATCCTAATGGCGAGCCCAACAACCTGATGCCCTATATCGCCCAGGTGGCCGTGGGCCGACGTCCCAGTCTAAGTGTGTACGGCAGCGACTTTCCCACGCACGATGGCACTGGAGTGCGTGACTATATCCATATCGTCGACCTGGCCGAGGGACATGTGAAGGCACTTGACAAGCTGCGCAACATTGCGGAGACGGGCTTCTTTGCCTATAACTTGGGCACTGGCGTAGGATACTCTGTGCTGGATATGGTGAAAGCCTTTGAGAAGGCATCTGGCAAGAAAGTTAACTACACGCTGGTGGATCGGCGCTCTGGAGATGTGGCCACTTGCTATGCGGACGCCACGTTAGCGGATAAAAAACTGGGCTGGAAGGCCGTGCGAGGTATCGATAAGATGTGCGAGGACACGTGGCGCTGGCAGAGCCAAAACCCCAATGGATATGCCAACAAGTAGTTTTGCCTCGTTTCTGCCTATCCGAAAGTTCCTGAGTTACTACACCTGAAGGCTCAGGGAGCAATTTTAATTTGCCTGTAGTTGTGTATATTTCTTTCAAAAATCTGTGTAGTACCCCCTCTTTTCGATGTGTGCAAGTGTGTGAATGTAAATCCAAAGTACTTTGTAATTAAAAAGGCTTTTAGCTGTTGTCATGTAATTTTCTGGTCATTTACTTTGTTTGGTGACCGCTGGCATAGTTAGTTGGTGAGTTACTCGACGCGCGCCAATTGACGCAATCGCGTAATTAAGGTCGTAACTAAGGTGGCGCACTATCACTGAGTAATAGGCCATACTTTACCCTGGAATATCATCAATTATAGCATTATTCAGAAGCTAAAGTGGAATATGTTTGTGAGTATCCATTTAAACTAGTATATCGACACCTTTTCTAATAAGACACATAATTAGAAAATTTATTTATTTAGCAAACATTTATTTAAATGCAATTTAACATTAAAAACTCAATTTTAAAACTTAAGTGATGCGCTTTCTTCGCACATATCTGCACAGTTAAAGTCATTTATCACAAGTATTTACTATGAATGTATGTTTGTTTCTACAACTTTGCGTTCTTTGCTTCGGTTTGCTTTTTGGAATGGTCTGCACATATAAAAGTACAAAATTGTTTATATTCGAGTCTGACGTTTCTGGGATTGTTTGTTTATATCGGTATTTGGCAATCTGTGAAATGCTCTGGAGCTTGGCGATTTGTTCAACGAGTGATGGAGGGATAAATAAATCGAATCGAAATCGAATTCAACAAGAAGCATTACTAAGTGCTACATTTACGGCTGGCTATATGAGTGCGCGATATGCATAAAACATGAATATATATATGTATAATACGGTATATCTAGGTATTCGGATAGATTGCAAGGGCAAGAGATCCTTAGCCGGGAGAGGCGGTGAAGGGGATAGTTTAAATGCCGCTTAAATACTGGAATCAGTGGAGATAGTACTCCCATGTTCACTTATGTGGAGGTCACGCCCTTGCGGGCAACCAGCATATTTAGTATGGGGTTTTTCCGGATATAGCTGACGGCCTTTTTGTGGGTGACCATGGTGAAGTCGTAGCCATTGCACTGGAGGATCTTGTCGTGGATCCGCAGACCGGCTCGAGCAGCAGGACTGCCCTCGTGCACTTCGGTCACATAAATGCCCTGTTGTAGAAATAATAATAATAATTAAATGAATGTTACATTATTAAGAAAAACGCAGAGCCAAATCCTTGTCAAACAAAATACTTTAAATGACATTTTCTCGAATATTTAAACTTTAAATATGTTATATCTGCACTTTTATAAGTCAAGAATTTGGTTCTAGAATATTTTTTTGCATTGCAGTTTCCCTAGCATTTTCTCACATAATCCGTATATCCTTGGGGACTCTTCTTATAGTCCTGATCGATTCCCCCGCCGATCTTGAAGCCGCACTTCAGAATCTCCCGTCCTTCCTGGTCGTAATCTTTCTCCTTGTGCAGAGTGATGGGAATCTGGGAATGGTAAAGTCGAGTAAATCTCTATTGCTCAAATATGAAAGTCTGTTCTTGTGCTCCAGCGACCCAATTTCACCAATACACACACCGGCCGTCGTGTGTGTGTGAGCCAGGTTCACATCATTTACGACTTACGCTCAAACATTCCATCGCCGTGCCGGCCTGGTGCTGAAATGCCATTTTCGCCATGTCTGCAGATTTTTTGATATACTTTGGTTTGCTAAATTAGTTGTTTTTCCTCTGATAAAATCGTTGCCAAAATCTTGCTGTCGCCCACAACAAACTCTGCTTCTTCTCCGTATTCACTTATCGACAGCTAATAATCGATAGTTCTCAGCACTGTTGCGATTATAATCTTACTGCTTACCGCACTTTTCAAATATCAAATTATATATCAGCCGAAACTAAAGCATTTCCTCTGAGTTTAAAAGCCTTAGTTTAAGAGATATCAATAGATATATATTAGAAAACAAAAAAATTACAGTTTGCTTGTTGGCAATGTTTTGAAGTTTTATTAAAATGTTAATCATGTCTACAATATATAAACCTACGACCGCCGCATGGCCAGCATGGTGTTGATCTCCCAGATGATGATGCGTGTCCTATCTATGATCTCGCGGAGCTGCCTGTTCTTAAGCTTGACAGTCTCTATAAGCTCATGATTCTCCTGCAAGACTTTTCTGTATTCATCGCACTGGGAGGTCTCGATCCTCGGCTCCGGCTCATCGCGGTAGGGAATCAGACTCTCTGCGCTCATGTAATCCATCCCTGCGTCGTTACACTTCTCATATATGATTCGGACCCTTTTGAAGAGCAGTCTAATGGTGCGGAAGTACTCCTGCACCTTTTTCTCGGTGTTGTTGTCCCGATGCGAGGTAGGCTGGATATTTTTGAGCGAGGCGAAGACTTCCTGGAATCGCGAGGCGATGTCCTGCACTGTTTCCTGGCCCAGACGTGAAAGCTGGACAATGTTGATCTCTTTGTGGGGATTTTGCTGTGAGATGGCGAGCATATTGTTGTTGCCACCGGCGCCGCCGGTTGGAATTCCTCCACCAGGATTTAGTTGCTGTTGCTGTTGTGGAATGTTTTGCTGCTGGGGCATGTTTTGTTGGGGTTGCTGCTGCTGGAGAACCACGCCCCCTCCTCCCATTCCCACGCCTCCGCCCATACCGACGCCAACTCCCACTCCAACGCCTACTCCCTGCTGGGGCACCATCATTTGTTGTTGCATCATCTGCTGCTGTTGCATGTGGTGTTGAGGCGACATACCGGGCATTAGACCACCAGGACCTCCTGGACCTTGGGGATTCATTTGCATGGGGCCCGGTCCGCCCATCATTCCCATTTGTTGCTGTTGCTGTTGATGCTGCGGCGACATGTGCATCTGCTGCATATTTCCGTGCTGCATGCCAAATCCTCCCATCGGCATCATGTTGGGACCACCGCCTCCTCCGCCGGCACCCGCAGGTCCTTGGTTTCCTTGATTTTGTCCGTACTTCCACATTTTGCACAAATATTATAAAATAAACAAAATGTATCGCTGAACGATAGTCACATACAAAAATCGCTTCGATATCACAAAATCGATATCACAAAAAGTGTTTGAAAGCGGATAAAGGTAAATTGGCAAACAGCTGTGGCGGTAAGCAAGGGTGTCGAAGGGGGTTCTTCTTGATATTTTAATTACGTTTCACGAAATTAGAAAAGCATCTTTATTCTATCTTACAAATTAATTGATGAGTTAGACACATTATTCTAACTTTAGGTATCGCCTAGTTCTTAAATAAACCCTTTTTTAAATTAAAAGCCCAGCCATGAAAAAGGAGAGTTGCCAGATAGGCGCCAAAACATAAAGTGACAGTCGAGCGGCAATAGTGAAATTGAATTCCGTCTTCTATGATTTCAATCATTCAATAAATATGGCACGCGACGAGGACAATGGTTTTAGTGAATGGGTAAGGATGTAGCTAAAGTATATTACACCTACGACCTACAAAAATCCTCCTTTGCAGGGTGGCTATTTCGAGGCAAAGAAATCCAAATTGGAGGAGCAATTCGCTGCAGCCAGCGATCCATTTCGTAAGTCCGACTTGTTTCAAGGGATTTCGATCTTTGTAAATGGCCGCACCGACCCATCGGCAGATGAACTGAAGCGTATTATGATGGTTCACGGAGGAACATTCCATCACTATGAAAGGAGCCATACAACATTTGTTATCGCTTCTGTTCTGCCGGATGTCAAGGTCAGGAATATGAATCTAAGCAAGTTTATCAGCTCCAAATGGGTGGTGGATTGTTTGGGGAACAATAAGATCGTGGACTACAAGCCATATTTGCTATATACCAACCAAAAGACATCGCAGCCCAAGATCAACTTTGCTAAAGCCAAAGACAGCAGTGTTAATGAGACCAAAGCAGAGGCAGAATCTCCCAAAAGTGATATGCAAAAGGAGCTAGTCGGGATTCTAAAGGAGCTGCAGCAGGCGGTGTCAACTTCCCCGGAAAAGCAGGCCAACTTATCCGATACCAAGGTCACCAACTTATCAACCATATCAAACACATCGGGCAGCGCTCGTACCGCTGCAGATCCAAATTTCTTAAGTGAGTTCTACAAAAACTCTCGCCTGCACCACATCGCCACTCTGGGAGCTGGATTTAAGCAGTACGTCTGCCAGTTACGTCTGGACCATGGTTCAAAGGATTTTCCTAAGAGGGAGGTGCTGAAGTCCCTAAAGAAATCTCACCGAATGTGCATGGACCGCTATGTAATGCATATCGACATGGACTGCTTCTTCGTGTCCGTAGGCTTGAGATCACGTCCTGAGCTCCGTGGCCTGCCAATTGCGGTCACCCATTCGAAAGGAGGCAGTGCAGCCACCGATGTTCCAGTGCATCCGCAGGCAGACAGAAAGGTTGAGCAGGAGCTCTTCGCCCAGCGCTTTGAGCACTATTTTCACGATGGAGACAAGGTGGAAAAAGTGCGCTCGGGGTTCGACAAGAAAATGTCGCTTTCGGAGATCGCCTCCTGCAGCTACGAGGCTCGGGCCAAAGGAATCCGCAATGGCATGTTTGTGGGCCAGGCTATGAAGCTCTGTCCGGAGCTTAAAACAATCTCTTATGACTTTGAAGGCTACAAGGAGGTGGCCTATACCCTGTACGATACGGTGGCACAGTACACCTTGAACATAGAGGCTGTAAGTTGCGATGAGATGTTCGTGGAGCTAACGGACTTGGTGACCGAACTAAAAGTCGATGTGGAGTCTTTTGTTGGGTTTCTTAGGGAGGAAGTGCATACCAAGACTGGATGTCCGTGTTCAGCAGGAGTGGGCAGCAATAAGTATGTAGCAAATATGTTTTTAAACATTACACTATCAATACATCGTTTAAGGTTACTGGCCCGCATGGCCACCAAAAAGGCCAAGCCAAACGGTCAGTTCTTGTTGGACTCGAATTACGACATTCTGTCCTATATGGCGCCTATCGCCTTGGAATCACTGCCGGGAGTTGGCAGCAGCTTAAACCACAAGCTTAGGCAAGCTGGGCTGGTAAACTGTGGAGATGCTCAGAACGCATCGCTGGAGAAGCTGGAAGCTGTGCTGGGCAAAAAACTCGGGCAAAATTTATTTCAGAACTGCAGGGGAATTGATGACCGTCCTTTGGCCTTTGAACAGGTTGGTTGTCCAACTTCTTAGAATTAATATTTTTTTGTTAACAATCTACTTCCGAATTAGGCTCGCAAAACTGTTTCCGCCGAGATGAATTTTGGAATCCGTTTTACCAATTCGACAGAGTGTGAACAATTTTTGCGGCAACTCAGCGACGAGGTTACTAAGCGCCTGATTGAGATCAGACGTAAGACGAAATCCGTCAACCTGAAGATCATGGTGCGCGCCGCCGAAGCACCAGTCGAAACCTCGAAGTACATGGGACATGGAGTGTGTGATATCATTAACAAGTCCTCGTTGATCAAACGAGCAACAGATGATGTGAATGTAATCACCTCACAGGTCCTCAACCTCATGAAAGAAGCCGATGTGCCGCCCCACGAGCTGCGGGGGCTTGGTATACACCTTACGAAACTGGAGGATGCAGTAGAAGTTCGGAAGGAAAACATTCTTAAGCAGATGTTCGTCAAGATGTCGGAAAACAAAAAAGGTAATATAAACAGATCGTATTCCGTACTTTCATATGTCCATATTACCTGTAGATAAACCTGTGGATGACCAACCATCGGTTGAACTTAAACCAATACCCAAGGAACAACCAAATGTGATGACCATGTTGACAGAAGCATCGGTTGGAAGAAAGTCCTTAAATGATGGTAAAGGTATTTAGCCCGAAAAAGATGGTTTTTTCTAATCATATTTGGCGTCTCGTAGATCAACCTGCAGTTAAAAAACCACCAGAGGAGGAAATTAAAAGCAAGATCAGGGAGCCCGTGAATGTAATGAACATGCTTACGGCAGCAGCGAAGAGCAGAAAACCGGTAATCGAGGATAAAGATCAAGCTAAAGCTGTAAAACCGAGTAGTATATTATCCCGAGCACCTGAGCTTGATCAGGACGTCCTGGCCCAGCTGCCGGAGGATATACGCCGCGAGATCCTCTCCAATAAGGATGAATATCTGCGCATAGCCGATATCGATGAAAAAGCTAAGCAAACAGGGCCTCCTTTCCCGACGCTTCAATCACCGCCATTACAGAAACGCTCTCACTCACCCAATCTGAGTCCTTTAAACGCCAGCGATCTGCAACCATCTACTTCCCGGGCTGCTAGGGCTCGTATGCACAAGCGTCGCAAGACACAAGAACAGTGCGTCCGACCTGATCAGATTGTGGCGGACTACATCGGGGAACTGCCAAAGCACATGCATCCTGGCATTTTGCAGTTCATCTCCCGCCCAGAAAAAGAAGAGCCCAGCCTGCTAATGGAGAGCAACTATAAGGGATTGCTGAACGAATGGGTCAGCCGCGAGGACATTCCGAAGCCAACAGACGTAGATATTATTCATCAGCAGATCTCAAATATGATCAAGATCGACAAAATGAACCATATGTATGACGTGATGAAGTATCTGTGCCGGTAGGAACTACATATATCTGCAGATTAAGTTTTAAATTCTCTGATCGAAAATCTTTCTATCTAGCATTATCAATACGAAACGCAGTAGTTCCTGTTGCTGGCACCTGGCCTATAAACACATCGAGGAGGGTATTCAGAACGAAATGCTGGAGCTCGAGGGCTACAATCTTTGCTTCACCGAGAACATTCGCTGCTACAAGTGTGCCTAAGTTCCTGGAAGAACTTGGAACAGATTTTAAGCCATTAAGTGTTCCTTATTATCCTATGGAGAGTACAAATAGTTGTAGTAAAACGGAATAGTTTGAGCCAAGTTATTTCCGTTTTCCATTCATTCTGGTCATTATTCATAATAAACGTTATCAGATTAGTAATTCTTATTGTTGTTGATTAGGGTTAAACCAAGTACATCGCTGTCAAGCTATGCTGAGGAGAAATGCCACCGAGTCATTTACAACTGCAGGTAGCAATTAATGTTGCAAGGCGGTAAATAATGTGGAGCTGCTGAGACGGTGGCGTTGATAACTTCATACATAAAGGGCAGAGCCCCATCTTAGCGACGGTGGCTTAAACCAAACGCCCCAGCTCTTTCCCAACAAAGCCGGCCACTCAAGACAAATAGGCCAGGCGGGCACAACACCTGGCGGAACTGGCAAGTCATAATTTGCACTTTAATGAAAGCGGCATCGACGCGGCTCGAACAGGTTAGTGTTGAACAGTTCTCCAAAGTCACTGCAGTTAATCGCTGCGACGGCTGTAATATGTAATTGATTCGCCTGCAGCTACACTTGACAAAAATGGAGTATACAACTTAGAATCTTAATATTATTTCAGAATTGGACAGCAAAAACTACCTATAATGATAAAGAATTAAGATAACTGAAGATAATTAATTATTTTTATACAAATACATATAATATCAGATTCATAATCTACGTTAAGCTTTCAGTGTATCCAGCTTCCCAGCCCCAATCTGAACCCATCCCATCCGCAGCCCCATGACAAGCCATAACAATTACAGTGCCAATGCCAGGAGGCCAGATGTGGGAAATGCCTGGTAGTATTCCCACTTACCTATCTTCCAAGTATCATTTCTTAAGGTATTTTCGAAATTTCTGTAAAATATTCAAATGCATTTGGATTGCTTATGAAAAAACACAATGAGCAAACCAATCAAAATAGGCCTCTAAAATAGAGTCTAACAAAATCTCGAATTAGTTGCTAGAACTTGGACACCTCCTGGGTAAAAAATTCGCACTCTTCGCATCACTGAAGGCCACCCCACTTTGGCTGGCAGCTGGAGCTGAAGATGGAGCAGATGTTGCCCGGTAATTAAAAATAGTCAAGCTGCATTTCTGGCTTAGCATCCGGTGGCGATGTGGCTGGTGTCTCTGTGGGATAGGATGGGATAGGTTGGGTCGGGAAGAAATGGGCTGGACCCGGGTCTCGGGATTTACATGAGCTACGCTTTGTCTGATTTAATTACGTGCGCAAAAGGCGTCGTTGTTTCATAAATTTTATGCATCCTGTCGTCGCGGAACTCGGTAGCAGCAACATGTGGCTCCAACCTGCCCCATGATGTAGTCGAGTTATCTGGCTCAGACCAGATGCAAATGTTGTCAGGCTTTGATAGACTTGTTGGCTGCCGACGCGATTTGTCAACGACTCCAAGGCGGCTGGTTTGGCGTGGTGCCTAGATTCTTGGTTGCTGATTTGTCTAGGATGGGCCTTACTTACACGTTAAGTTAGATATTTTAATAAAAAATATATACGATGGGTCTGGTTTTCTAGGCCGCAGGTTAATACTAAAAGAACAAAAGGTATAGGGAGATATCCAACTATGTAATACCCATGACAGCTAGCTTCTATGATGGGCAAATGTGGGCAGCCTTTGGCAACATGAGACCCAAGTCAAAATCCCAGCGCCTTACCTGGTTTATTCCCACGCTAGTGAAGCCATACAAACAACAGTAGCTGCCGGAGCAGCTGGAAACTGTCAACATTATCGGACGTGACTCTGCGACAAGATCATGGCCAGAGCTTTACTATATGTTCAGCTGGTTTGAGCCCTATGCCAAAGCCATTGCCTACATATAAGTATGTGCGGAGTATCGAGGATTTGAGGCCCAGATGCTGATAATGCCTGAGGCTGCGGTGTTGCGGTTTTGGATCCTACCAAATAAGTCGATGCAGACGAATCGGATTTAGCCGCCAAAGTTGCAGCTGAGGCTGAGGTTGAGTCTATGCAAAACTTCTAGCCAATTAACTTGGCCCGCGGCAGAGGAGAGACCAGAGAGCCCAAGTCCGTTCCTGTTGCTGTGCCTTATGATTAGAATCGTCGACAGCAGGCCGCCAAACAGGCACGGCGGCAACAGCAACAGCAACAGCAGCATCAGCGACAGCAACTGCAACAGCAGCAAGCAACCAAAGCTAATGAACCATGTTGCCGCTGATGAACCCAAACTGATTAATGATGCCTGCCTGGGATGGAATGGGGCAGCAGTTGCCACTGCAACTGCTGAATCCGATGGGGTTACACTCCCGAATCCCGATTCCCCGCCAAGTCCCTGAGGCCCAGCTAACAACTTAACTAGTTCAGTGGTGGGCTTAGGGTTACCAATGAATGCAGTGAGTAAAATTTGGTTCAAGCTATCAAATGCATTAAGTTTTCCCAGTAGTAGTTCACTTGTTTCTTAATAATTTTAACTGTTTTAACATAACAATAAATAATAACTATATGTCATTTCCTTAGACGATCCAACAACTAGAGCATCTTTATTTTTTAGCGTGCAGCTGTAGATGTCCAGTCAATTTTTGGCCAGCTGAGTAAGGAGCTGACAAAACCTGGCAGTGGCAGAAGCAAAGGCGATGGCGATGCCGATGCCCAATGGCCATGGCCGAAACAAAGGCCGCGCAGGCGCACCTGAGAATGTTGATAGCCCCCATGGATCCAATCCGACGGAGTGGGAGTGGAGGTGAGATGGTCAGAAAGAAGAAAAAGAAGGAGGAGAACCCGCTCCAAGTCCGAGTCCAAGTGCAAGTCGTTTTTTATGCCACTCAAGCGGCGACAACAGGGATTGCAACAAGGGTCTTGAAGATCCGAGACCGAGGTGGAGTGGCGAGAGGTGGAGCGGAGTAAACCTGGCCCAAAGCTCGTTTGTGGCCTGGTCGGGCCCTTTATCACATGCGCACATCATTTACTTGAAAAGGAGACAGGGACGTAGCGCACTTCAGCAATTGCCTTTAAAGTGTTTGCGTCGTGACAAAATCAATGTTGGCCGTCTGTTGCTGCTGTTGCTGTTGCTGTTGCTGTAGCGACGTTGCTGTTTGTGCTGGGATGTTGCTGCTACGACGACGCAGCTGAAGCTCTGACAGCCTCCGCGCGGACAGTGATTCATGGTTTATTAAGCGCATTATGCCGCAGGACACTTTGAAGTTTCCAAGGAGCTGCACGTGTTTCGAGGCCCTTAAAAATGCGGCAATTGTTACCTGGCCTTTGGCCATGGCTTTAGCTTTGGCCATGAACACTTGGCTGGATTCTATGTTGCTGCCGTTTCGCAGGGCCAGCAATTGATTACTTAGCGTGTTTTATGCGTACGGCAAGTTATGTGCCGACTGCCGCGTTAATTTGCCTCCTCGGTCTCGGTCTCGGCATCGGCATCGGCATCGGCATCGGCCTTGGTCTAAACTAAACGTCCAAACAAATTGTTGCTCGGCAGGCGCTGGCCGTAAATCAGCGCAGCAGTCAAAACACATCAGCAGCATAGTTGGCCAATGGTCTACTGGCTATGAATTCCGATATTGAGCTCTTTAGCTTCCCTGGGAAAAGCCATAGAAAAGCAAACCCTCCAGCTGCAGACACCCACATGAGGCCAGACCAATTTCAGACGGGGCGGTTGGAAAATCACACCAAACGATAAGCCAGTCAACGGAGAACACAGAGGTGCTGGCGTGAGGACTTTATGTAAACTATTAAAAATCTAATAATTTTGCCTTTATGGTTTGTTTTGGGAAACTGTTGCAGACATTTTTGTAGGATAAAACATTTTGTACTCACTTTTGCAAGACAATAGCTCCATTCCAGTTTATTAGCTAATAGCTTAATTTGGCTCGTGTCACGCGACCTGAGCATAGGTGTGAGCGTACACGGCGTATGCGCAACGCTCGCATGTGCAAATGGAATTAATTATGCGCCGCGTAAACAAATACAAAACGAATGGAAATTGAGTGTGAGATGAATTGCCAGGCGGAGATGTTGGCGGGCGATAAGGAATATAAAGGCGGCTCTGATTTATGCCCGTGTTGCTGCTGCAGCCAAGTGTTGCTGTTGTTGCCGCATTACGTATGCCAAAAATATGCAAATTGGCAATTGGAAGTGTGAACACAGCCAGTGGCAACATCAGCAGCACTAGCAGCAGCAGCACCAGCAGCAGCAAGAGCAGAGACACCACCAACTTCCCCCTTGCAAGATGCAGTACTTATATGTATGTGCACTTGCCATTAGAATGCCGACGCCGCCAATCGAAGCGTCAGAAATAAATTACAAAATCGTGTAAAGTGCAATCTGGACTCGGACATGGATGGTGGTTTCTTATTTTTCCCTCCATTTTTTGCGCCGCATTTTGTCTTTTGACGTTTTGCCTGGTTCTCTAATCGCCTTTATGGCCACATAAATCTTGGCTAAAAATTGCCGTTGCCCGCCAATGGATTTCCTTTATTTATTTATGTTTTTCTGCTGATTTTTCGCCTTTTCAATTGAGCTGCAAACTGGTCCACGGTTTGATTTATTTCAGTTCCTCAGCGGCGGCAAAGATAAAGTTCTGCCCGCTTTCACGCATTTTTAATTACTCCCCCCTCCCGCATATATACGGCATTCATACCTATATCGCATATATATCCGATCTGCGGCGAGCGATAATGCCATGTCGTGTGCAGCCGGCTGAATGTAATTGAATCGCTCTGCCTGGGAAATATGCTAAGCCTGACCCCGCCCCTTCTTTCAGGGGGTGGGGGGTCGATCGCCCAGCTGTTGATGGCAGCTGACAGGTGCAATAGCTCTCTGCAAATCGTCGCCATTCCAAGAGTTCAGGCAAAGTCACAGCGCTCCCTACATGGCTCTATGCCAGGCGCATGACTTTAATCGCGGCATTACATCAGCTCCGATATATCGCATTTTCCCGCTTCTGTGGGCCATGCTAATGACTACACGAACCGTTTAGAGATCATTGAATTCTTCAGGAACTTCTGGTTACACGGCTAAGACCTTAGTAAGCGTTCGGTTCAATTATCTGATTGCTTTCATAATCGTTAATCTTACTTAACTTCCTGTGGGATGCATTGGATGGCCCATCTATCACCGCTAACACTCCCGCTA